GGGGGGGGGGGTTTTATGGAAAAATTCCTTCATGGGGGTAAGGACAAGAACTAAACCTGATACCTTTAGTTAGTTTATTCAGGAATCATTGCATGATATCAGTATATACTATAACTACAAGAATCCAATGCACAAATAAATTTCTTTGTCAGTTAAATGTACGGTATAACCAATCAAAATAATACTGTTTATAATAATAATTATTAGTTGTAATATGACTGTTGACTCATGGCTTTCTTGGTCATTAAAATCTGCAGATGTAACAGCCACCACTGATTCTTGAAGCTATTTATGGTCTTTAATTAATAAGCAAACCAGTCAACTCACATTTACCATTTCTCTTGTGATTTAATGCCTTATTATAGCATCATTTTTTGCACTTTACAGAAATCTTTGAGCCAATGAAATCAAAATGTCAATCAGTTGGAGGTTGTTTACATGATGTATGTTAAGAATGATGTACTTGTTGATATTGAACACCTGTCAGTGTTTTATATTATGTGTGTTGCGTTGCGTTGTATTCAAAGGTAACGTGAGATCCTCAAGATTTCGAAAAACAATCAGATTGGTTGTTACTATAGCTTATCAAAATTGTGTTTATTGTTTTACGTGCACACAAAAAAAAGTGTGCAGGCAATTTTTTCTGGGCCCACTTTTGTTTCATTCCCATGCATCTTCGCACGCCTGCGCACGTTAATTTGCAGAACGAACTTAGACAGAAATAAGAGTGGGTCCAGTTCTGGACTAATAAGACCTGAGTGTGATCAATAAATACTTTACAATAAATAGATACAATAAATTAAATATAATAGTTAAGACTTTATAGGAGCCATCTGAATGACTAGCAATGACATTAAATTATTATCATGAATCTAATTTTAGTCAAAGCATGATTTTTTAAGGTTTTGGAAAAATCTGCTAGAGTGCACGCACAAAAACCGGGAACATTAAATAGTACTAATTAGTACTATTTCATACAGAATCCTTTGTTTTCTATTGTTTATTTATCATCATTTAGTACTAAAGGTAGTATTTGTTTCACGGGTTTAGTGCGTGCACTCTAATCAGTGACTTTGTAACAGACCCTTTGCAGATAACGGTCACTTGTCTGCATTGGAGAGCAAAATATTTTTTGTTCTAATCTTAAATTGGTGATTCTATTTAGCTACTTGTAAAGAACTGAATGAAACGATGTGTAACCAGTGTGTTACGAAATGCAGTTTTATTACGATCTCTCGAAACAGGTTGTAGAAAGTGTGTTTTGCTCACCAGTATATTTCACCCATGGGAATCAAAATGATCATTCATTTGCTCTCAGTGAATTAATCAGCTCGTGATTACTGAGGTACCAAGAACCTATTATCCAAACCGTGAACTTATAATCTTCATTTTACCAAACAGGTTGGGTTGGAGAACATTGAAAATGAAAAGAACAAGTGCCGAAGCAGCCTTCTTGTCGCGGAAAACAGCATGGGATCCTTCGTGTGAAACACTTTGAATCAATGATTGATTGCTTATTTTTAACTTTTTAATGTATATATTTATATTAATAATCCTTGTAGAATCGAATACCTGGGAATGAAATCGATATTGTTATAACGGCACTAAACACAAAATGAGACGTAATGGAGTGCAAACAATATAGTGACCACAGTAAATCCGTGAAACTTTAGTGATACTAAATAGCACAATTTCATGCAAATTCCATTGTTTAATTAGCACTATTTTGAACAATTTAGTAATTAGTGTTTCACGGATATATTGTTTGCACTCTATGTTCTAGAATGTGACACTGCACAAGACATCAGAATGGATTTATAACTAGTACATATTATAGATTGAGGATATTAAAAAAAGACACAGTAGATAGACCAGTGCACAACAGATAACGAAATAAAGCGTTTTCACTCACGTGACAAGGCAGCTATATTGATTTACCAAACAATAGAAGGTTTCTACACAGTTTTTGCATAAAAATAGAGTTCAATTCCCGGAGGATAGAAAATGTATTGTTTTGGTATTGTTTTGGCTGCTGTGACGTCACGTGAAAACATTCTTTACTGCAGTTAGATGATAAAATGCTAAAATCATATATGACTAAAAACGTTGTACGGCCCTGGCTAAACGAGGAAACATGTTTTCTTAAATGCTTCCAAAGGTGGCAAAACTGTTGGGAAACATCGGGAAACATGTTTACTCAATATCGGATAGCGCATGCGCACTTTCAAGATAGAGCTAGCATTGCTAAGTAACGAACTTTTAGAATGTTGACTTTCGTGGCTAAACGAGGAAACATTGGGAAACATTGTTTTCATGCGTCTTGGAAGCATGAAATGTTTCTGCCGCACAGCAGAAACATTTTTGCGTCTTGGAAGCAAAATTTGTTGCACGTAGCAATGTTTCGCATGTGGCTAAACTTGGAATCATCGAGGAACATGCGCGCGGTAAACATGTTTCTGGAAACTTGTTTCATCGTTTGGCCAGGGCCTAAGAAACAAACCAATTTCATTGTGTATTGTATAGATTTTCCATGATGTATGTGTCCATGATGGGCTTTTTATCTGCATTAGTTATGTTTATTATGTTCCAATACTTAGTTTTAATGTAAATATATATTGATAATTGATGCAACAGCATTGATAATATAAAGTTAACATGTCCAGGTTAATATCCACGTCAAGATTTGTTGTCCTTATTTCATTACTACTGGTTAGCATGCAATGATGGGAGCTTAAAAAAGTGTAAAGTTTCTATAACCCTTCTGACAATATTCTCAGTAGAGTGAAGGCATTTAACCCGAGAAATAGATATTAGAGTAAGGCCTAGGGCAAACGTCGAACTTTCCATGCACCACACTCATTAAAAACAATGGATATCAGGTGATAATGAGGCGGCATTCTTTGATGTAATTAAGTTTGGTGCATGGAAAGTTTGACGTTTGCCCTAGGCCTAATAAATGTTAGTAGACCCTAATTCCATTGTTTTTTTTTGTGTGTCTATTTGACTATCACACAAAAACAAAAAAACGTTGACTAGTATTTTTTGTTTCACAGGTTCTTCACTACTAGTCCATGTGTAATAGCCAAATGATAGACACAAGAAAACAATGGAATTAAGATCCGCTAAAGTGTACTAGTCTAATATTTATTTCACAGGTTTAGTGCCTTCACTCCATTGATTCTACTTGGGGTCTTAGCGGTTCGACTCGGTTCTTGTTTCCATATTATTTTATTCAGTTTGGGTCAGTTCTTCTCGATTCACAATCTTGTTTCTCTCTAGTTCTACCCTATTCAACTTAAATATATATATGAATTTGAAATTCAAATTATTACTGATGCCAGTATGGAGCATGTGACTAAACATGGGGTCAGCTGTCGAATGATCCCAAAAAACATTTCAGTTTGAGTGTGGCTTATTGAAGGTCTTTCCATGGTATGCCACACCATTTATGCTAGCCTTGTCTCCTTTGCAGCCGTTTTTGTTTTGTCGTCATAAGAAAAAGGTGGGTTTTAGTTATGAGTGCTATTTATGTAGTAAAAGATACAGTAGGTATCATCGTGGCGTACTTGTTGGAATTGAATTCCCCTGACAATTCCTGTACACCATGATAATACCATAAAAAGGTCTATTAGTAAGGTTTAATTATACAGCTTTTCATTAATCCCATATAGGTAACTGTCCAATTATTTTCTTAATTGGACAGGTCTTGTTGATATGGGATTAATTAGGCAGCTATATAATTAACAGGTAATGGGATTTCATGCTCCCCAATCAAGAAATAATTAGAATCGAAAAATTCCTCTGACTGCCAAATTGGACTCGGCCTATGGCCTCATCCAATTTTGGAAGTCCTCAGAATTTTCCTAGTCCAATTATTTCTTAATTGGACAGCATGGAGTCCTATTACATATACTAATACAAAACTAGATCCCAAACTAAATAAAAACATTTAATACAGATTCAACACCATACATAGTCCATTTTATTAGTAAGAATCAATTGGGTTTTAATAATATTTACTAAAATTATAACCCTAATTAGTGCTAACTCTGAACATCTATTAACACTATGCTCTGAGCTACCACTGTTTAATTCACTGGTTTATTTGATTAACGGTACTGTACTTGCTGATTATCTTGACAAGACTTTTATCCCAATTAAACAGTAATATTGTAAACTTACAATCAAAACTTTAGCTAGCCTGGTGAGCATGTGTTCTTGTGATGGGATTGAGGAAGAATCAGGGTTTTGGAGTTCCTGTTACAACTACGTGCCCAATACTACATTTTACAGTTCCGTTCCAAGCCGAGGCTGGAGTTTCCGCGCATGATAAAAATATAGTTTTGCTATGAGCGGCAACTGCAGCCTCGAGTTGCAACTATTATTCGTGGTATGGAGTATTCTCACTCGTTCCAAATTTCTAAAGTTCCCCCAAACCCACAAGAACACCTGCTTTGCAGGATTAACTTTAGCTCTAGGCAGAGGATGAGTAAAGAATCATCTTAATGGACCAAATCCTCGTCTTCCATAGTCGTGATGATACGTTAAGAGCAGGAGCGGATCCAGGGGGTGCCTAATGCTGTCATTACTCTTACACATTTTGGAAGTGATGCATAATATTTCTATATACATTTCTTCATTTGGGACACCCCCCTAACAAATTCCTGGTTCCGCCCCTGAAGAGGGTATGCTATGAACTGAGGAGTCAATACTGTGAGTATCCTGTTGCCCAGCACAGCCTCGAATTTATACAAAAATATTTACAATTCTTTATAATGAATGATAAAAAATCACTTGTGTATGGAATTCAATTCTAATGTCAATCATTCACTACCTTTTGATATTATTAACAATACCACCTATATCAAACTAGCTTAACACTTTCACTACTAGAGGCTAAAAGGGTCCAACACAGGCTCTTCATGGAACATAATTAGGGTGTTTTTTTATTCCTCAATGTCAAAATGAAAAATACAGTCAATGTCATTAACGCTGTCCACTGAAAAAAGACATTTACACATTTAGACTAAAAGAAATGTTATGTGTTTCCTCGAAGGTTCTGGCATAAAACAAACGCTGAAATACCATTCTCCATCTTAAATCCTCACTAAATGGTCAGGGCATTCTGGATTTTTGATTCACGAGTTAAATTTTACATTTAAAGTTCAGGCTGACGCACACGAGGCAAAGAATACATAATGAAACGTGATATTTCTTTTAGTCTAAATGTGTAAATATGTAAATGTCTAAATGTGTAAACGTGTAATGTGTAAATGTATAAATGTCTTTTCAGTGGACAACGTTAATGACATTGACTGTATATGTCCTAGGGACCTCGCGGACAGGTAATTAAAAAGCAAAAATGTCTTTCCACTGGCCGCTTTTGGTCACTTTAGTAGTGAAAGGGTTAATATTGAAATCATAATATACTTCTAATAGTTATTTGGAGTAAATGTTAAATGGTATTTGTATGTATGCTATAATTTATATTATTTTAATGTAAAGCATCTCTGATGTAGTAGGACAATATTATGCATCCAATATATGAAAAAAATTGAAAAATATTTATCATGGATTTGAAAATTGGATAAACACATACAAGCCAGAGGCTGCAGTGAGTTTTTATCATGTATTGTGTAGTTTTAGAAATT